GGGCAGCAGAGGAGAAGCCACAGAAGAGCTGGAACTGAGAGACACAGAAACATGGGCTTCATGTCAGAAGGATGAGGCCAACTGCCCTGGGGATAGACCCATCTTCCCATAGCACCTGGTCGGGCCATCTTCCCATAGCACCTGGAGCCACCGCTCCAGGTGCTATGTTGAAGATGCTAAGGCCTCTTCAGGCAGTTTTGTGGTTACACATACAGTGACTGATCAACAATGCCTGCCACGACAAGGGGTGGGACATGAGACACCTATGCCAGGAATGTGCCAATTCTACTCATGAAGCTCTGGAAAAACAGCACTTCAAAGTGATCTGTGAGAGAAAGCCCTTGGTCGGATTTCCAGTCAAGGCACAGTTGTGAGGTGTGGGGTATGTGGCTGCAGGAGGACCACAAGCAGCACAGAAGGCATGGAGAGGCTCCCCAGACACACCTGGCTGGGGCTGTCCATCCAGGTGGGCAAGGCCGCCAGACCCTCCACTGAGTGCTCAGGAACCCGCGAAAATGTGAGTCACAAGCCTGCAAGGTTCACCCTGGGGAGGGAAGGGTGACTAACATCCAAGGGCCTCGTGGAGAGGGCTGTCTAACCAGCTGTCAAACCAGTCAAACTGAGAGCCGGGCTTGGCAACAGCAGGTAGGATCAGCCTAGCAAGGGCCTAGAAGCCAGAGAAGCGCAGGGCAGTGCTCACGCCTGAACGCCCCACCCAGCCTGGCCCACCCAGAACAAGCCCCCAGAGGGAAATCTGCTGCAAGGAAAATCCAGCAGATAAAAATGCCAAAGAGAAAGACCATGAGGAATTGTGGGCTCACCCCCCACGCCTGGTGAGGCCAGGCATCTCATTAGCTAAAAAGCAGTAGCCCTGCGCTAAAAAGGCCTTGCTCCCTATAGCCCGCCCCTCTTCAGAACAGCTGTGCCAGCAGGCATCTCTGACACGGATGACAACCAGCCACACACCATGAAGGCAACACTACCAAGAACCCAAGTAAGGCTGGGGGCAGCTTCCCTGTGAGGCCTGACAGTGGGGCTGGAGAGCTGAATCCATAGCAGGGTAGGGGCCAGAGTGACCAGGACAGGGCTCAGTCTGTGGCCAGGGTAAAGCAGGGCCTTTGGCAAGGCTCAGAGTACCATGCTTCAAGAAGGCGGATGGCATGAGCAAGGAAGTGGCACAAAGGCTGGGGTACACGGGTGGCATGTTGGTCTGGGAGGGTGGAGGCCAGCGAGCATCCAAGAAAAGCATGAGAGCCAAATAAGGAAAATGGAGGCTTGCTAGATGCCCACTACACCTGGCACTGGGTGAGCCACAGTCCATGTTTCCCAATGATCACAGCAGCCCAGGGTATACACACCCCTATGTTATAGAAGAGGAGGCTGGGGCTCCAAGAATTACAAAACATACACGAAGGCACATGTGTCTGGTACCATTGACAAAAAACCTCCAGAACAAGCAAAGCCATAGACAGAAAGCAGAGGATGGGGGCGACTGCCCAAGGCCAGGGCTGCCTTTTGGGAGATAGAAATGCTCTGCAATTAGATAGTGGTGATAGCTGCACACACTAATTGATGGAAACACACTCATCCCAAAATCACTGGACTGTAGACCTGCAAAAGGGTGAAATGGTCAGTTGTGATATGTGAATATTATCTCAATAAAAAGAATAAAATAATAAGGCCATGGCACTTGCCAAAGGTCCCAGGGCTGGGAGAGGAGAGCCAGGACAGCTCCCTCCAGCTGTGCAGCCCTGAGGGAATCAGGCCCTCTCAGCCTCAGCCTCCTCATGAATAACACAAGGGCTCTATCATCTGGATCACAAACGACCTTCCTAGCCCTTGGTCCCAGAGACCCCAGGGTTTCACGATCCAGTCAGCACACAGGCAGGAGCTGCAGGTTGCTAGACTCCACACCCCAGGTGCCACCACAGGTTACATGCCAGATACCTCCCTGGGCCCAGAGGAGAAGCCACAACTAGGTGTAGGGCTGGCCCAGAGAAGGGACAGCATGTGCTGGTTTCTGCTTGCTCTGTGAGTTTTTCATGTACTTTCTGAAGCCTGTTTCAAAGTCAAAAATCAGGTATGGACCCTTGACTGTACCCTACAATATCAAAATAAAAAATATCAATTATAAAAAAAAAAAAGAAAACAAGTGGATGATAAAGAACGACAAATATATGGACTTTGCAGTAACCTGGATGGATTTGGAGTCTATCATGCTCAGTGATTTATCACAGAAACAAAGAACAGAGTTCCATATGTTGTCATTCATAAGATGATCTTGAACAATTATAATGCTATAAGAAAGTGATTGGCAGTAATGGGAAACTGTTGGGAGGGGTGGATTGGCAGTTGAGGGAAACTGCCAGGGGAGGGAGGGACATACTTCATTAACAGGGTACCTGCATGATCAATGTTTGTATACCTAACCCTGAATTGTACCCCACATCTTTACAATAAAAATTTTTAAATTAAAAAAAAAAAAATCAGGTATGGAATTGGAGAAATGCCCCTTAGAGACCTGGAAGAGGAGGTGCTCACAAGACATTATCACTCTCCTCTCAACCTCTCCCCCAGCATCTGTCTCCACTGCATTATAACTCTCAGACACGGGACCCGACATGGAGGAGGGGCTCAAATCACAGTGGGGACTGACTGAGGATAGGGATGTTGAGAATGACCTCAAGTCCCCCCATCCCTGCCCCCCCAACACACACACACTCATCTCCTTATGCATAGCTGGGATGTCTTCTGTTGAGTAACAATCCAGACCCACATCTTCTGCCAAGGCAGGGGCAAAGGGACTCCTGTTCATGGGAAATAAAAGCCTGTCCTTGATGAGTGTGGAGAGGAGTGAGGGTGGGCAGTGCTGGGACAGCCACACGGGACTGCAAGCACGTCCCAGGAGGGCCCTGACAGGACAGCAGGCAGAACAGCACTTGGTCCTCAGGGCCTGAGCCCACCCTCCAGCTCTGCCCTCCAACCCTGAGCAGAGTATGCTCCTGGGCCCATCCAGGACAGGCCAGGGACAGAGGTCTTGAACACAGAGCTGGACAGTAGGAGGCAAAAGAGGACATCAAGCCATCTCACCACCTCCACATACCACCTCCTCCTCCTTGCTGTTGAGGTTACCTTCATCAGTGTTACTATCCACTAGGTCACTCACCACCCAGCAAGCTGCGCCAATCTCTCTTGTGCTAAGGACCCAGGCTGGGTCTCTAATCTTGCCACTTTCTATATTAATTCTTGTTAATTACCTAGCACCCAGCACAGCCACCAGCTCACTTATCATCCCCAACCTTGACAGCGCAAGAATCCCACTTAAACCCTGTGAGGAGGGCAGGAGGGCTTCCCCACGGAAAAGTCACAGTCAAGAGCGGGCCCATGGCCTGTGACAGCAGTCCTCTGAGTCACTGGAGCACGCCGGCCAGTCTCCTACAAGGCTCTCACCCCACTAGAGTGGACAGCTGAGTCCCTGGGACAGTTGGCAGAGAACGGAGCGCTTGTCCTTGCACTCTGCAGAGCGAAGGAAGGCCTGGGGCTGGTTCCACACTCTAGCACCAGTAGCAGCTGGTTTTCCAGCTGTAGGAAAGGAGTACCCCCTTCCACCACCCAGTCCCTGACTCTACCAAGAGGAAAAGCTGTTCTGGCAGACACACCCCCAAATTTAACAGCCAACCCTGAGCAATCTCTTCAAGGGAGGGTCGGCTGGCTTGCTTACAAGAGATGCTACTTCTTGCCACCTCATGCTGGGGGGCCAAGCAGGGCAGGGAGGCTACACCATCACGACCAGATATCCTGCTGATCCACCCTGACCAGGCCGGGATGAAAGCACTGTAGAGAGCTTCTTCTAGGCATCAGTTCCACCACCTCCAGCTTCGCAGTCCTCACCGCACATTCGGCTTGGGCAAGGGAGCAGATTCCAGCTGATGTCTTGAGGGGATCTTGGCCCACTGCAGCCCTGTGCTCTAGGGATCTCTCTAGTCCCAGGGCATGATCTGCCCAGACAGCTTCCACAGCAGAATGGAGACTTCATCCCTTGCAGCTGGAATCCAACGCCAGGACCATGAAGCTACCCTCGTCTTCCAGCTCTCCCACTGTGCTTCATGAAACAGTTCGGTGGCCTGAGTGTTGCTGGGACTACAGCATGTACATACCATGCCTACTCCCCAGCACCTGTCTGGGCCCCTGCCACACATGGAACCGGAGCCTGCACTGACCTCTGTTGACCTCCCAACCCATCAGCCACCAACAGAGCATGATGCTCTCCTGGAGCAGAAGCACTCTGCCTGAGTCTCAGGGGCTCCACAGATAGACAATGCAGCTCCAGGAAGATCCTTCTTCCCGGGTCTCAACTTGCCCACCTTGATACTACAGGGCAGGACCAGCCGGTACCAGGCCTCTTCTGGGTGTTAAAACAGTAACAGTGCAGCATGTTCCAAATCGCAGCTCTGAAACTTAGGTCGTGAAACCAACTTAGTAAGTCACAACTAACTTTATTTTAATGGAGAGAATAGAACAGGACAGAAAACATCAGCACATGTGGCATGTGGCAAGGGAAGGCACCACTGAAATGTCTGTATCTCGGTGCATATGTGTGCACCGGACAGCAACAGCAAACATGCCTCTCACCACAGTCGCAGTCCCAGAGTCTGGATAGCCACGAGAGAAAGACCCTATCTTACTTGTCTGCACGTGCTCAGCTCTGCTTCAGGCTGGTAGGGGAGAGGCCAAGGCAAGAGCTAAGCAGGGAGTTGACGTTTACTTCTGAAGCTCCCTTTGAACTCGCCAAACGTTTGCCAGATACGTGGATGGATGGATGGACGGACGAGTGAAGATGAATGGACAAGAACATTCCAGATGATGACAGTGGTGATGATGACGAAGGAGACGAGAACAAGGAGAAAAGGAGAGGAGGTCCCTGTGGAGGAAGGACAGCGCCATGCGGTGCGGTGAGCCCCGCCTTCCTGCTGGCAGGGCAGGCGTGGCAAGGAACTCACCTCGGAGCGGCTCCAGGTCGAAGCCCTCAGAGGGCAGGGCCTGGCAGGAGAAGGTCTTGGCTACCACTTGCTCCACGGGGGTGAGGGCCAGAGCCGGGGGCTTGCTGGAGCCTGGGCCGGGGCCTTGGGCTGCCTTCCGGAGGTCACCCAGCTTGCGTCGCACGACGGCTCGCAGGTCCCGCCACTTGTGCTTCAGGTCGACCACATCGCGGCGGCAGTAGCCCAGTGCGTTCACAGCCTGCAGGATGCGGCTCCACACACGGTACCTGCGGGTAGGCTCAGCCTTCAGTAGCCCCGTGCCAAACAGCAGCTGGTGGTGCTTGCTGACCTTGGACACCAGTACCTCGGTCTCCTGTGGACAGAAGTTGGGCTTCCTCTTCTTGGCCCGGGTGGCACTCGGTCCTGCCATCCAGCCATGGGGCCCGGCAGCCAAGTCCTTCCTTAGGACAGTGGCAAGTGGTGAGGTGGGCTCTGGCGTCTGACTGCCTTCAGGAGCAACCTCTGGCCCTGGAAAGGCACCAAAAGGCGGTTGTTTAAGGCCCTGGGCCTGGTGGAGGAGGCAACTCTGGCAGCAGCTCCCTGGGGCACCTCCTCTTTGGCTTCTGCTTCAGGACACAGCTCTGCCTGCTCCCAGCCACCACCCCTCCCTGCTAGTGTCGAAAGGCCTGGACCCAAGCCCCAGAGCTCTGCCACTGACTTGCTAGGTGCCATCAGCAAGGTCCCTAACTTCTGGGTCACAGTGCCCATCTCCCAAACAGGACATCACTGGCTCTGCCAGCCCTCTGTAACCACCATCAGACAAGGGTGCCAGATAGGCTGGGCCCTCTCCACACATCTCCTGCCTGCAGGCCCAGGGAGAGGAAACTGCCGGAATACTGTTCATACCTGCCCATTGGCCCCATGAATGCCAAGAACAGGCAGGAGGCAAGATGGCTAGGCCTGCAGTCTCATTCTGCTGCCATCCTGTGCCTCTACAGCTCTCCCAGAGCTCACAGGGGCTACAGGCTAGGCTGGAAGACAGTACCAAGGTCTCCATCTTTGCTCACATATGAGCCTTGTCACCAACCAGACTGGCTTCCTGCAGGTAGGGGCCAGGTCTTCCACCCAGGGCATAGCTCAGTATGGACAGAAGATGAGGGTCTCCCAAAGACAGGGACAGTGCCTTCAACACTAGAAGACTCCCTGAGGGCAGCAGGTACATGTCTGAGGCCCACTGGGAAGCAGCATACCAGGGCAGGCCTTCTTCTCTCTGTGGGCCAAGGAAGCACACAGAATGGGTCTCTCTGCTAAGAGGGAAACCCACCCAGACCCACCTCTGCAAAGGCTGCCACACCTGCTCCTCCCTAAATCATACATCAAGGACCCTAAATCCCTTCACCAGCCAACTTCACAAAGACAATCTAGGCTCTGGGACCCAAGGACGAGATGAACAGGTCCAGACCCCTGGGTGTGAGCACCCCTCACTCTCTGTCCCGCTGGGCCAGGCTTTCTGAACCCACAGAGCCCTGACAGCCCTAGCCACCACTCAGTTTCCTTCCTTTGTCTGGTCTATATTGGCCACAGCATCCACCCTCCTCAAGAGGAGAAGCTGATGGGGGTGAGGCAGAGACAGGCCTTGATTCCCGCCCCAGCCTCCTCCCCTGCAGCTACCATTACTACAGCTCCTGCCTGCTGACACATCCCTCTTCAGTGCCTGCATTTCCGGGAACCTTCCCGGGACACCCCAGACCCAGTGTCTGAGTGGAAGTACCTCGCTTCCTGGCCCTTGGGACTCTGAGCGTGCCCGCCGGCCCCAGATCACCTTCCCCGTCCTTCCCCACACAGAGGTCCTGTGGGTTGCTGTCTGGCGACAGGCAGGGGAAATGGCGGATTCCATACTCCGTCCAACATCTAGCGCACTCTATGGACAGCAAGGGACAGTTATGATTACTCCCAGCCTGCCTGCACAAGCAGTTCAGGGCACTGCTGGTGGTACCAGGTCCCCACACATGGACGGCAGGTACCCTGGGCCTGAGAAGCTCCACTCAGGCCCACCTCCTTCAGGAAGCCTTCCCTGACTACTGCACTCTCTGGAACAGTCCCCTTTTGCTAAATGTCAGCATGGAGTTCAGAGCTTTAGGTGTTCCAGGTTTTCCTCTGAACCACAGTTCTGAAAAGCCACCCCAAACTAGCACACAACTCCCTAGCTTAGATCATAGCCCACAGGTGTACCCACAGACAAAACCTTGGACAGCTGTTACAAGCCTGCGACAGATGAAGTATAAAAACGGAGAGTAAGGCTTTAGGATCACTTATGGCAATTCGAAACTGCCACAACATCCAAGTATGGACCATCTATTGTGTTTTACTGAACACTGTCCCATGGCACGTGGGAAGTGAAAAGCAGAACACCACTGCTCTTCCTCACACAGGGTAAGTGGCAGGGGTACAGCTGTATGAAGGTGTGTGTGAACACTCTCCACCACCCCTAGGTACCCCATCAGTCCCCTGGCACAGTTTGGGTTCCCCAAATAACATCCTGCAATTTTCTCTAATAATTCCCATTTATTCACCAAACATTTCTGAATACATTTTACTGAGATTCATCAATCCTCAGATGCACCTTATAAAAATACTTTAGCACCTTGGGAACGAAAATGTTCCTTTCAATCTGCATCCAAGAGTCAATAAAACAGTGTGTGCCAGGTCAGGCCCTCTGAAACAGGACCCTAGCTGCCTTCTGTGCCCTGTTCTCCCTGCAACATGCCCCAGTAGACGACATTGATGCTGCTGGCTTAGAATCTCTTTCTCACCATGTCAACAGCCTCTAGGGAATTCCCAGGATGGCACAAGTGGCCACTGGGCCCTGTCTCTGAGCTCTGTCCCTTCACTGAGCACCTGAAGCAGCAGCTCTTGGAAAAGGCTCTTCATGCAATCCTTGGATAAGGGAAACCAGGAGGATGCCCCAGTCATTCGGTAGAGGACACTGCAGCCCAGCAAGACAAGGAGGGGAGTCCCAAAGGCCTGGATTGGGGAGGTCCCAAAGGCCACCTTGTCTACCCTCCTGCCTCCAGAGAGCATTTCCCAAGCCCCAGGTAGAGCCAGGCCCTGCTAGTCACATAGACCCAGGGAAGTGTCCCAGCTCACTGTTCTGCAATGTGACCTCTTCATCTTCTAGCTCGACCCTTTGCAGGAGGATGAGGGGAGAAGGAAACAGAAGGAAGGGGATGGCGGCAGTCTGGCTTATTTGGGGGTGGGGGTTCCCAAGGGCAGAAAATTACAATCAAGTGAACCATACAGTCAGAATAGGAGTGAGCCTGGGGCCTGGAGAGGCAGTAGCTGCAGTCCAGACAGACACAGTAATCACAGCACCCAGGAGAGAGGCCCTGGCCAGGGCCCAGCTGAGGGTCCCAGGTTGTAGGTGTCTCTGAGTGTCTGATGACTGTGAACTCTAGTGCAGGGCCCCTCTCCCAAGAGAGGAAAGGCCCTCTCCCTTCAGCTCCAGAGGAACTCCTCTCCCAAGAAGGCTGGCCCTGTTCCTCTGGCTCTGAGTGGCTCCCTCTCCCAAGACGGCATGCTTTATCCCTCTGGATTTAGATGGGCCCCTCTTCCTAACGGCCCAAGCCATCCTCCCCCTGAATGGAGACACTCTGTAGGTCCAAGACCCCCACCTCAGCAGTCACTGCCCCAGACAACGGTGCATAAAAAGAGGATCTACGTATTCAGGGACTGGGTTCACCGTCTGTTCAGGGATGGATCCCACAGTCCCCTGACCAGGTCCCCAGAGAGACTGTAGGCTTGGCTGGCAGCCATCACCCAAGGACACCCTATCACCTCACCACACCTGCATCACTCACCCCAAGTCTAGGTCCTACCCACCACCCCCACAGTCTTCCACACTGTCTCCCCACACCCATTGCAGGGGCCAGTATGGTCCACCCACCTGAATTACATAAACCTAGAACTTTGGGAGTAAGGAGGACTGGCCTGGGACATTTCCCATTTTTCATTTCCTGAATTACATAAACCTAGAACTTTGGGAGTAAGGAGGACTGGCCTGGGACATTTTTAATAGAATAATACATACAAATTACAGAAAAAAATTAAATGCAGACAACTCTAAATAAGAAAATTAAGATCACAGCAGCCACAGACAAATATTATTAACACTGGGGGATGAGAGGTGTTTTATACCATAAAGTAGTGTGTGCATGGTCTTCTACTCTTATTTCTCTGAATGTTCTCATTACCAAACTTCATTCATCTTAACATGTACATAGGCCACCCCAGGTCTTCAACAGTGATTTTAATGACTGAGTCACATTCCATCACAGACTGTAACTTACTCAACTATACCCCTAAAGCTGGTTATTTACAGTATTTCTGAATTCTCACTCTCATGAATCTGCAGCAGTGAACATCTCTGCTCATATCGCTGATCATCTCCGAAGTCACAGTCCGGAAGAGGCAGAGCTGGGCCAGGAGAGGGACATTCCAGGGTCCCTTCCCTTGCCAGTTGCTCCTCACCTTCCCCCATGTCCCCCTGCTCATACTGCCGGCTGCAATGGCACACATGGATGCCTTAATTTCCTCTCTCAGGTTACCATAAAGCTGACCACTGCTCATGTACTGATGAGCCATCTATATTTCCTAGCTGTTCGCAGACCTGGCCCATATGAATGAGGGTTTGAGGGGTCTCCCCCCCCTTTGTTTGAGTTCTTTATGTGTTAACAACCTGCCAGCAGTTCTTCGCTGTCTTAGTCTAGGGTTTGTGATGACGATGAGACAGCCCTAGGTGCTGCACAATTAGGGTGGCCAGAACATTGGCACACAGAAAGGACTGGGTAAAAGCAGCTGCTCCTACACCCCTGCGGATCTCACTGTGATCCCACCATTCTGCTGGAAGGTCATCCTCAGCTCTTAGAGTCTCAAAGGTCAGCATGCATGGAAACCATGCCAGGTACCCCAGAGCAGAGAGGTACGTAAAGAAACGCGGAGGCAGGATTGCACCCAGCTTCCCAGAACCTCACATTTTCAACAAGTTAGGGCAACACTGATCCTCTTCTGACAGAAATGCAATCAGTTACTAATCATCTTTAAAAGACAACTAGAAAGAAAAATACATATGTTTGGAAATGAAATACATTGGGCACAGAAGAAATCATAATAGAAATTAGAGGACATTTATAACTAAACAAGAATTTAAAATACCATATATGTTTAAATGTGTGATATTCAACTAAAGCAGTGATTATTTGGAAATTCATAATTTTAAATACTTTTATTAGAAAAAGAATAAAAACTGAATATTGAACATGAATAAGGTAAATATCCAATCTAGGAATTAGAAAAATAAAACAGCATCAACTCAAAGAAAGAAGAAAAATAATAAAATTATTAGCAGACATTAAATTTTAAAATTAACATGTAATAGAAAGTATTAAGAAAGCCAGAAGTCACATCTTTGTAGAGACTTATAAAATTGCCAAGTCTCTGCAGCTATTGATTATAACAAGAAAATATAGAGAAGGTACAAATATGTAGTATTAGGACCAAGAAAGGGGATGGGGCTTGGATACTGCAAACACGAATGAAGCAGCACAGCCACTGGCCCTCAGCAGCCCCGCCTATGTGTGGCACAGCCCCTGGAGATGCTTCAAGTGTGTTAACTCAGTCTTCACCATGGCCGTGACAGAGGTCTACTCTTATCTCCACTTCCAGAAGGTTAGGTTACAAAGCTAAAAAGTGGCAGGGAAGGCAGGACTTGGGATCAACTGGGCTGGCTTATGAATCTGTGTTCTTAACCACTACATGATAGTCCCCAGTGTTACTTGACAATGAAAGGCCATTGTGTAAAACTGTCTTTCAACATATTGAACATTAGATAAAACAGACACATTTCCAGAAAAAAGCAACTTAACAAAACTAACTCAAGAAGAAACAGAAAACATGAATAACTTTTTACAACCAGAGAAATTAATTTGTAGTCCAAAATTTTGCCATGAAGGAGAAACACTGGACTCAAATAGTTTCACAGCAAAATCCCTGAAAAATTCAAAAAACACATAAGCCCATTCTCCCATAAACACATAAGAAAACATAATTACTATTTCCATCCCCCAATGTAGTAGAGATTCTAGCCACCTCAGGAAGGGAAGGGAAGTAAAAGGTGAACGCATTGGAAAAGAGGAGGAAAAACCGTCATTAAAACACCATCTACATAGAAAGCTCAAAAGACTCCACAGACAAATTATGACAATAAATAAAAATAATTCAGCAAAATGATTAGATACAAAATCAGTAGATAAAAATCAATTACATGCTCAGGAAAAGCCTGGTTTCTTCAACAAATAAACTTGGAGGGGAAAATAAAAAGGTGGAGAGACTCTGGAGTTGCAGGACTCAGAGACGCATGGGCAGACATGGCATGTGGGTCTCAGGAGGCTGCCACTTCACACAAGCAACTGGAAACACAGTGACTTCCAGAAGCCACTGACCATCTGAATGGCAGATGGATGCGGGATTGTGGCTGACATGAGGCATTCCAATAGAACTTGGGCCACACATTAAAGGAGCCCTTCTCCTTTGGAGACACAGGGAAATATTAACAGATGAGCTGACTGATGTATGGGATTTACTTCAAAATGACACAGCAGGGGGAGTATTGAGGGCATAACGTGGCCAGACTAACCACTAGCAGTGACAGAGGAAGTTGACTGTGTGCAGAAGCTCACGACATTACCACATCTACCTGTATGTGTCTGAAAGTTTTCTTATCTAGAAAGTTAAAACACAAAACATTTAAAAATTAAAGAAAATATCTGGACTTCACTTCTTAAAAAAACGAATTCTGTGCACACACCAGCAAGAAACATTTGGAAAATGTAATATTCAGAATGGTGCCACTTACAATAGCAACAACGACAAAAAAAAAAAACATTTTTTCTTAAACAAATTTAAGAAAAGATATATAAGATTTTTATGGAGAAAATTCTAAGACTTTACTGAAAGACATTAAAGAAAACCCAATCAATATAAAGAGATATATAGCATGCTCATGGATTGGAAGACTCAGATGATAAAGATAGCAATTCTCTCCATATTAATCCAGTGGATACAAAGCAAGTCCAGTCAAAACTGCAGCAGTTTGATAAGGTGTTTCTAAGTTCAACATCAAAGAGTCAAAAAACCCCAAGAAGTTTCTGCAGAAAAATAAGAAAAACTTGCCCTAAAAACTATTGAGAATCATAGTAAAGCTATAGAAATTAAGATGGATTTTGACTCAGGAATTTTAAAAATGACCAAGAAAAACCAAATGGAAACTTTAATTATCACTGAGAAGTCCCTGCAGGTCTGTAGAAAAAAGACAGAATAAATGGTCCAGACAATTTGTTATGTGACTAGACATAAACAACATTAGAGTTTCCCCTCCACCCTTCCCCACCTCATGTCATAAACAAAAATCAACTCCAGGTGAATTAAAGACTTAAATATAAAAAACAGTATATAATTTTTAGAAGGAAGAAAAGGACAATCGCATTAACATCTTGTGATACAAGTTATTAAACTAAACAGAAGAACACAAACCACAACAGAAATGAATGACAAACTCGAATGTATCCTAACTGAGAACCTGTGTTCCTCGGCAGGCACCAGAGTGTGAGCAAGCCCAAACTGGACGGGGACATTTAAACACACCTGAAAAGGTTTTCATTTTCAGAAAACAGAAGGAAATCTTGCAAATCCACAAGTACAAGACAAACCCAAGGGAAAAACAGAAAGTTAACTCAAGAGAAGATCTAAGTGCCCAATAAACATATGAAAAGATGATGCATTCTTCCCTTAGCTGCCAGAGAAATATCAATTCAAACCAGAGGCCATATCACACCCACCAGCTCAGCAAAACATCACATCTGACACACTCAGTACTCACACTGGTGCTGATAAGGAGGTGGAACAAAAGGGGCCCAACCCAGGACTGTGCCCCCCGACTCCGCCACAGATCTGGACAGGCCCTGGACACCAGGCACAGGTGCTTAACAACACAGGCCGTGATGGCACAAAATGGGAGACAACCTCATTGTCTCCCAGATGTGGACCAGGCATAGACACCACAGGGTGCTCACAGAACCGAACACAGGAAAAACAATAGCTCTACGTAGAGTGGAGGCTCACAGAACACAATGGATAAGAGCAGCACACTGCAGAATAATACAGATCGTGTGATCCCACCACATAAAGTTTAAACACTTGCCAAACTCAGTAACATGCTGTTTAGGGATACCATTTACCTACACACATAAGTAAAACTATGAAGAAAAAGCAAGACACGGTAAATACACAGCTCGGGACAAGGAGGAAAAGACAGGACGGGGAAAGGATGGGTGATCAGGGTGTCAGGGTGAGTGATCTCTAAGTCATTATAACTGAACTTTACATGTCTAAACCACAAGCACATGCCCGTGCACACACATGTAATCTTGCCTCTCCTCGATGTCCCTAAGAACACATTTTATTTTTTTTTTATTTATTTTATTTTTTTTTTTTGAGATGGAGTCTCACTCTGTCACCCAGACTGGAGTGCAGTGGCCACTC